AACAGTCGCTCAATGTAAGCAACTCTTGGATCCTCAACTTCATCATCCCATGACAGGGATGGAGGACAAATATTGTCCTCTGGTTTCACAAGATAGGTTACCTCAACCTACACCAATAAGTTTGTTAACCACTTAGAGAATGTACACTTACTTTTTAAATAATGTACGTACATAAACAATTGTACATACCTCTTCAGCAGCCTCACACTCCAAGATGCTGGATGTCCTGATTGCCCGCAGAGAGGCAAGATGATGGATAGACCTCTGAGTAAATGTCCTGTTAGCTTCATCATCAGGTACTAGCTTAGCAAGGGATGTGATTGTTTCGAACGCAAACAGCTGGAGTGCTAATGGGAATCCATGTAGTGTATAAGACCCATCCTTTACACACCTTATCAGTTTTTGAGCATCTGAAGGGGTTTGGAATTTTGCTATCCTCTCCAAAGTACGGGTAAAAGACACCCTTCCCCAAGGGTATTTGCAGAAGAATTGCACGTCCTTCGTCATCTCAACAGTGAACTCAGAAGGCCTTATGGGGTTATTATGGCACCCTATCACACCATCTACCAAGATTATAAGAGATAAGGCCAGCTGCTTCCACCCATCCATGGTTTCCTCCTCCTTCAGCCAGACCACCAAATCATTCACTGTTGGATTCGCCTTCTCCCCAAACTTCTCCTCAAACAGAGTTTTCCAGACACTTTGACTACCAGCTTTAACCTTTAGCACATCCCTCACGTCTTTCTTGTTGGGATATGTCCCACATTCTAGACCAGTTACCAGACTAAATTCTCTTAATCCGAATTTTATTGGATGACCGCCGAAGACCATCCACATCTCATTCACTTTACTCGTCACTAACTGACGACATATTAGTCCAAGAACAAGCTTACCTGAGAAGGAAGACTTGTTAGCAGGTATCCTAAAAAGGTCCCCAAATGGAGACTCGAGAAGAAACTTCATCTCCTCTTTTCCCTTAAGAACTTGTGCTATGTCAGAAAGGTACTCCGGTTTGGAGTACGCGTTCATCTTCGTCTTCACAGGGTACCGGTCTAGGGCAAAGAGTCTAGGTGGTAACTCTTCAACTATAAGATCTTCAGTCGGAGCCACGCTTGTACTGCCTGCAATTACAAGTGATATACAATTAAGTACGGATGTATGAATTCGTGTACGTACACAGTAATTATCATCATTATATACTCAACATCTGAATTTTGGCGGAAAAAGAGATTTCCAATTCATCTTCTCAAATTTTCAAACTACAGATTTAGCAAAATCCGGCAACTTCTATCCCTTTAATTAAACAAGCTTTAAGATTCCGATACACCCAAAGAAACTACAAACGAAATAATATCAGAACTTACCCAATTCCTCCGGCGGCTTTGTCGGAGAGAGTTTCCTCCTCGGGGATACTCTGAGTACCCGCTTCTCCTTCTCGGGGCCTTCCCGCGTATGCTGCTTCCTCGGTACTTCGTCGTTTTGTTTATTCCCAGCCATCTCGAAGGTTTCTATCTCGCCGGAGGTTTCTCAAGTCGTCTTCGCCGGAAAAACTTCAACTTTCTATTCGCCGGTTTTTGGAGTTCAATGCGATGCCTCAAATCAAGTATCCAACAATTCGAACGGTGATGTCGAAAAACGAAGATGGATGAATGAATTTCGAACTGATTTCAACTTCTCTATCCAATCTCTCCGTCTCTCTCTCCTTCTTCTTCTTCGTTTTCTTCGACAGTTTTTTTTTTTTTTTTTTTAAAACCGCAACAAAAATCTAAAGAAACTAAACCGGTCAGTAACTGTGCGGTTTGGTTTAATTTGTTAGGGGCATTTTCGTCATTAAATGTTGTAACTGTCAAAACATGAGATTGAAATCTCAGTTTGCCAATCTGTGAGAGAAAATCTTTTTTTCCCTCCAAACGTGAAAATTTCTTTTCTTTTTATTAGTTTATTATGTTTTGATAAAATTACCCTCATACAATCTTCGTCCTCTTCCTTGAACACCAAGATTCAAACATATTTTCTTGGTTCTGAAAATTTCTACCAAAATCCGACAAAAAATGGAAGGTGTTAGAAGAGCAGAGGTGATCGTTACCAAGAGATGTTCGAAGCTGCGCGTGGAGTTCACGCCTTCACTACGTGGCAGTCGCATATCGGAGCCTTTTTCTCCTGCCACCACCAATGCTTCCTCCCGGTTCCAACCACCAGTTCGATCCGACGGACCTTTCTCTGGTCTAATCATCTGTGTAACTGGTCTCTCTAAAGGTACAGTAAAACATCTATAAATTAATGCTCGATAAATTAATATCTGGATAATTCAACTTTTGCCAAAATCAATCGGCGTATTTGTAATGAAAATCTGAACTAGTTCTTGAATTGAGAATCAATTCTTGTATGCAGAAGCAAGGAAACAGGTTAAGGAAGCTACAGAGAGACTTGGTGGTGAATATAGTCCTCTTTTGCATTCTCTATGTACACATTTGGTTGTTCAGATATCCTTTTGTTACTAAAGAATTTGAGTAATCTCTGGAAATAATAAAATGAACATTTCTGTAGTTTTGTGTTAGTTTTTCTTAACATAAAAAGGAGTTTACAGTTATGATGGATGCAAGTTTGAGCATGCCTTGAAACATGGAAGAAGAGAGACTTTGCATATCGTTACGCTTGGCTGGTTTGTGGATAGTGTCCGTAGAAATGGTGAGTATGTCTTTAACCGAGTTTGCGCATACTTTATCATGAAGTTTATCAAACTAGTTGTGATTTGATTGTAGTTAAGTTGGGTGAGTCTTTCTACGCGGTAAAAAAGCTTGGAGACACTAAGGTGAATGTAGATGGATCTAAATCGGTTTACGCGGTAGAAAAACCACCTAGAGGAATGCAAGGAACAAAGTTCACAGGAAGCAAGGACTTGGCCTTGTCAGGCTATTCAGTTTTTATCGATCCTGATATTTCAGAAGAAGTGAGACGCCGGGTTAGTCCTAAACACCTTATGAGTTTTAAAAGATTGTTGCAACGCCCGTGGATCAACGGCTACATTCCAAGTCTTGCAGGTTTCACAGGTGGCTGTTGAAGGAGGTGCCAAGCTTATGAATCAATGGTTCATTGGATGTAATGCAAGTCATGTTGTATGTGAAGCTGGTTCTGTCCTGAGATATCTTGGTCACTCGAGTAATTTGGTTACAGTAAGCTAATAAGAACTCTTCCATTGTTACATATACCGCAAATTATCCGTTTTTTGGTTGTGTAAAATGTCGCCTGTTTCAGCCAGTATGGCTTCAGAAGACGTTGGAAGAGAAACCAATGCAAAATGTTGTTCGAATGTCAGCTGATTTGGCAAGAGATGTTATAACAATGCTTGAGAATCTTGTGAAGGTATCTTATGGTTGTTATTTTGTCTGTGGACAAGTATTCATGAAGTCTCTAGTCCTTTAATGTTGTGTTTGTATAGGGATCCCGCATGGAATGTGTTCTTGAAGATGCCTCGATGTTAAGAAATAGAACGACAACATACAAAGAAAGGCAGAAGATTGTGGAATCCGCCAAAAAGGCTGTCACAAATCACCACGCAAAGGCATTTCATCTTCTCTATATTTCATCTTCGGAAACCAACCTATCGCTAAACCGCACTCTATTTTCTTTGTTCTTCAAACAGATGGGCAAGATGCTGATCCAGCCGAATCAGACCAGCCTTCTAGATTCTATTTGTTGGACAGTATCTGAACCAACCTCAACAGCTAGTGTTATCATAGATAGTTTTAACAACAACGAAGATATCGAAAGAAAATCTTTATCTGCCTTCTTTGATGATAAAACCAATGATTCATTCCCTCACTCCATAAGACTGCTCACAGAAAGGTTCCCATTTTCTTTTTCATCTCTGTAACTTTATATATATCCAAGCTACCCTTTTAGTTATGTAAATCTCATGTCGTTTTTTGTTGTTATGGCATGAACAGTGAGAGAATGGAATTGGTATACAAAAACCATTTTATAACATTACTACTTCCAATTGATTGGTATGGTGAGATGGGACCTTCTTCCAGGTCGTATTTTAGTGAAACCGGCTTTACATGTCAGCAGATTCTACAACACATCTATGCATTCTATCAGGTAGCAATGTCCGAATATATAATATGAGTGTCAGGATCTCGTTGGCGAGACCACTTTCAAAGCAGTTTGTGTTTGTATGCACTTTCTCAACTTTCTCAGGAAAATATGTCTGAGGAGGAAATCAAAGCAGCAATTCACACCAACTCGAGGCAGAGTGAAAAGCTCCGAGCAGTGGACTCGATGATGAAAGGCGGGAAGACTGTATTCAAACGGATTCAGTTTCTTGGATCCCGGAAAGGCTTTGAGATGCTTAAACGTGTTAGTAGCTTCAATTGTAGTAATGTCTATGAGCTTATCATTAAGGCATAACAGTTGACAGATAAATTAGATATTCAGATACAAAAATACAAACCTAGTTGACACACTAGACATTTCCATGGTTAAACTTGTTAACTGGATTATTTGGGAGTTTTTGCTTTTGCAAGATCTGCTCGAGATCACCAAATGTAGTATTAAATTGTTAACAGTAGACATTATTCTACTTTTGTATTGTGACGATCTTGCGGCGCTCGAGCTCATAAAGCAATTCCACGACTGCAGAGTCGAAGGAACTTTTCTTGTCAGGCCTGGCTTCTCCAGCATACATCACAGCCCCACGGTTGGGTATCCTTAGGGTTATGGTCGATGTGAAACTGCTGAAGCTAGTTCGCTTCTCATCGCCATCTGTGAATTCAAACGGAGTTCTGTGCAGACACAAGAAAGTTATCAGTTTAAGATTGGTCAGGACACATGAGAGCAGAGAAAAAAGGAACCAAAATGAGAAGTCACCTGGATTTCTCTTCCGAGGTATCAAAAGTAGGCGTTGGCCAAAGATGCTTCTTGCAGAACTCATGTAGAGTTCCACGAGGCCCGCCTTTCTTCGTGTTTATAGGTCCAATAACTGAAAATTATTAAACCATGAAATGCAGAACCCTGGATACAAAAAACTGAATAAGAAAAGAAGAATCTCTAAAGGTATATAACAGTGCTTACCTGGAATCACTATACTCTGGATTTCAATAGAATCTGAAGTCGGAGTTTCTCTGTCGCTATGATTGCAAGCAAGATTGACATCCATGGAACTTTGATTATCCCCGATCGAAATTTTACGTGAAATGTTTCTCTTCTGAAAACCCAAAGAAAGTTTCAGCACATGAAAACATCTCACACACACCAACACGCTAAGTGGAAACATCAGAATATATATACCTCAAGTTGCGTAAGCAGATGTGAAGCTGCTTTTCCCAAGGCCAGTTTATTTGTCTGTTCAGATCCATCTCCAGTTAGAAGAACATCGCCCAGCTGCAAGTGGATCGTGGCTTGTGCCTTGACACCATCATTTGAACATTTCTCTCGGAAGAAATACCCAAGAGAGTCGCATAGCTCATTGAGCTCCCGGTACGGAGGAAGCTGAAGTTTATCTGGAGTTACAAGTGGAGAAAGCAACGGCTCAAAGACTCTCCACACTTGATCGAGATCTAACCTTGTATCGATCAGCAATGCCCCAGCGATACTCTCCACCACATCTCCAAGAGCCTAAACCAAAGCAGGCAAGTATGTCAACTTATTTGCTCTCTTTGTAATCTGAAATCTCATGCAGGGACTTTAAATGGTCATGCAAGTATGTGTTTTACCTTAGGGCCCTGTATTGAAGGGATTGATCTACCTGTCTCATCTGGTTTTTGGAAGGACATCAGATACTCGTTTATTTGATTCTCAAGAACCGTAGCACAGCGTTGAAGGTGGATATGCAGATTATTTTTCACTGCAACTTGCGCAAAATTTTCATTATTTACACATGCAGAACGAAGATCAGTCATCTCTCCAGGCCCCGTTTGTTCGTAGGTGTTAAAAAGATGACGAGTGATTAGAAAATCCAGTACAGAATCGCCAAGAAACTCCAATCTCTGTTTGAGGAACAAAATGATAGCATGAGATTAGAAAACTGGGAATAAGTCAGCCAAATAATGCAGGGTGAAAATGATGAAGTCATACCTCGTATGAATAGGATTCATGAACAGAGGAGTGTGTGATAGCCTCTTTTAAAAGGAACTTTGCAGAGAATTCATGTTGGATCTTTCTCTCCAACTCTGTGAGCTCATCGTCTTTAGGGATGTAACACCGTAGAGAAACTCTACTGATGGCTTCAACGACTAGGTTTGGGTCAAAATCGACGTTAACACCGAGCCATTTCATCATATGGAGAGAAGCAGTCAATCCACCACTTACATAATAGGCACCAATCAAGGCCTCAGCGCAATCTGATACAGATTTTGAAACTGTCCATCTATGACCCATGTCGCAAGACTTGCCGATTTTGATAGTCATGTTTTCTGTGAAGAATTTTGGGTCCAATGGTACTTCTCTAGTATCAATCCCACACTTGCAAGGAACTGGAAAAAGAGAAAATTGACCAGGTGCAGTCCAGCGACGCGGTTCAAAAGCGCCGTTTCTTATGTATCCCTATCAAACCAATCCCATTTATAAGATATTTCATTAGTGCTCTGACTGATATAATACAATACTTACAAATGTTAGAAGATACCTGTAGTTTGCGATTGGTTGCCAAGCGATGAAGATTTGAGTTAGATATGATCGATTGCCTCTGCCGTGATAGTTGTCCCTCGTCTTTGTCAGGATACTTAAGGAATAGATAACAGCTCGCAACATACTTCAAGACTGAATCCCCCAGCAGTTCCAACCGCTCCATTGAAAATGCTTCGGGGCATGTAAGTGTTGTTACTGCTTCAAGAATCTGATTTATTGAACCAATACAAAAGTTTCATGACAATCTCGATATCTAGTTTCATCTCTTAATGACAGATAGTGTCAAAAACCATACCGATGTACTTGATATACTGAAGTTATCGATGCTACAATCAATCTCTTCCCTAAGCTGGCTAGCCAACATTAGAGACTCTAGGCGGTGCATCACTGAGGGCAGCAAGTAGATTGATTTTAGAACAGCACGCGGTACATCAATTCTGGCCAAAAGCTCTGGAGGCAAATGTGCATGGATATTTGGTTTTTTTTTTCTAACATTGCCAGCTTTTGGTTCTGCCTTCACAACCACTGTCCATTTACATTGGAAACAACATCTTAGAGCTCATGCACTACAGTATCCTGAGAGCATATACAATGTATCCATGTGTCAGAGAAATTTTCACGAATCAACTTACTCTCTTCATTGAAGTCGACTAAAAGGTTGTGCGCATGGTGACTCTGCTTCAACTTCATCAACGGCTGATTTGGGTGCGCCAAAACAATCCCATACCTGATTAAAGGGAATAAGATTAACTAGAGAGTCATCATAAGTAGATTGAGAGAACAGCCATATCAAGAATATCACTTACTTTTTATTAAAATATTCTGCATAAGTAGCATATTCTGACGAGGCGTCGCACTCAAACGGGCTCAGAGCAGAAGAATCCCTTACCGCTTCAACTATAGAGTATATCCTTCCAGTATGAATTGCAATGACCACAAGTTCTTCAAGACTATTTTTATCAGACGAAGCGTTGGCAAAATGAATCAGATTCGTTTCTTCCATTTTATCGTCAAGTAAGACTTCCTGATCGGATGAGGTGTTGCACTGATTCCCATCACTAACCTGAAGTTCAAGAAGAGAATTTTTCTTCAAGAACTCAACTATTGAGGCACAGGAGTTGATAGCTGACCAATCAATTGTCGCACTCGAAGCTAGATCCTTTGTTTCAACTGGTAGCAGTAGAAACATAAAGGAAGGGTGCCAAAGAGAACTTGTGTCAGTTTGAAGCAAAAATTCTCTCTTTGTTCCCTGTGACTTAGATCCAACAAACAACTTTCCAAACATGCCATTAAAGAAAAACTGCTGAAAATACTTTCCTTTGACCAACTGCATCCAAACACACAAAGAAGACATTAAGTTCAAACCATGAAACAAGAAAACTGTACAAATCCTACGGATCAGAGTTGTGTACCTCCTCTTGACTCAAACGTATCTGGCCACAAGGTGAGACAGAAGCCTTCACAAGCTTCCTGACCAAGTAAAGGTCCATCTCAACATTACCAACATCCTCGGCGAGTGTTGACTCAAGCAAAAGAGAGAAACTCGAGTATACTTCGCCAGAAATATTACAACAGAAGTCAAACTTATAAGCCTGAAAGATGGCGCCATCAATATTTTCTCCCCAGGTTCCTGACAATGCGTTTGCACAGGTTGTTCCGTGCAACTCCTTACGTTTTTTTGAACCTGTCCAGAGAAAAAAAAAAGGAATGTATACATAAATAAACAAATTAAGACAAGCTACATGACCTTAGACAGACATATCATATGCATATGCTGGTGTGTGTCAGTGTATGTGTGTGTGTGTGAATCAACAGCGACTGATGGAGGAATTAAAGACTAAAATTACCGACACCAACTAATCGACGAATTAACAAAATAAAACATACCTGCAGCCGATGAAGATGATTTACTTTTAGAAGAGGCAACCTTCTCTTTGGCGTTGGATTGTAAAAGATTGTTATCCAAGCGTAACTTCTTACATGGTGGTAACTGCTCATTTCTGCTAGGAGGATCAATCATAGTTTGTGTGGAAGCTGCTTCCTCAGATACAGTTATGTTAGAATCTGGGATAACCATGGTTCCAATCTCCTTCACGCCATGGGCATTTGTCACTGGAGGTGGACACGATTTCAAGTTTGGAGCTTCTGGATCTCGAATTGGGACTTCTCTTCGCATAAGGTCATACAGATGGTCTCTTTGTTTCGGGTTCCCCCTACAATAATTAGTATTAAAAAAATGAGCTACATAAGAACGCACTGTTTGTAAACATTTTGTGTTAATCAAGATTGCTTCTTACCTTTCAAGAAACATGATAGACTTAGAATTACTCTGTTTGGCATGTTCTTGAGACTGCGAGTAACTACACACTGTTTTGGGCAGGTCAAAACACACCATGCATGAGCAATTTGGAACCTGAAATCCCTCTTCAACCGCATCCGTGATAAACAAAAGATTCACCTGCATTCATTAAAAAGCTTTCAGAGAAGACAAAATATAAACATTTCTCAATCTATAAAACATCTTACTGTGATGAAGAACAGCTAACCTTGCCCTCATGAAATAAATTAGGGATTTCAATTTGCGTTTTCTGTGCTGATGCATTGGTGGAGAGGTTGTTTCCGACTAAATACAAGACATTTAGGTAAGATAAAGAGGCTTCTTTCTTCACGAATCTTTCGATCACTTCCGCAGTTATAATTCTCTCAACTAAAATAAGGCACTGTTTTTGCTTTTCACCTCTGCAAGCAAATTGAAATCGTCAGAACAGATAGAGATTTTGTTGCAATCTTGGGAGTTGGAAAAACAATTTAAATTTACCTAAATGAATCCAATAGATGAAAGAGTTCTTTTAACTTTGGAGATACATGTCCAGAATTTACTGCTGACAGACGGTTTTGCTGCAAATCTACCGAATTCTTATCTTCTGTTAAATAACACAAATGAGGCACAGTGAAAAAGATTGAATTAATGTCTAGAAGTAGATTCCTCAATGAAATATAGAGCTTTGAATACAGTACCTTGCTGCAAATACACCCCAATTGTGGATAAAATATCCTCTAGAAATTCCTTGCACACCATTGACCATTCTTTATAAGTTTCACTTTCCTCTTTCGTATCTGAGATTTTCTCCAAGCAGACTTCAGCCGCCTATCACGAAAGCAAGATGAAAGAAAAGAATTTTAATCAGCCCAGTATGTAGTGGTAGCGGGAGAAAAAACTAACAATGAGTAAGCAAATGATGAACTGGTAATAAAATCAAAACTGGTAGTATGTGATAGAAAATACCAAGTGTGCGCAAATCAGGCCAAGATTATCAAGGCAATGCAAAATCTCTTTGTAGTCGATGGACAATCTCTTTTGATATGTCTCAAACTTATTATCAATGTTGAGAAAACTGCCTTTTTCCAACTCTTGAAGCCTTCTAAGAGAAGTATCAAACTGTAGGAAAAAAAACAGAATCTTTTTCAAGCACTCTGAAACATAATAGGAAAGAGTCATGTTCTGGCTCATATTCAGTGAGCATATAGTAAATACCTTGAGGTGTGAAGTCTCTAACTTTTCTTTCAATTCCAAACTACGGAATGGTGATGGGTCATAGAATATTGGACCTTCTTTTACTGCTTTAGCAAACTTTTCTACCCCTTTCCCCTCTTCAGAATTAAAAATCTGAATTCAAAGTAAAAGTTGCGTAACATTAATTTGTAAACTATATATGTTTCCTTGTAACACAAAAGCAAAGTACCTTTGAGTCCATGAGTCTCTCAAGTTCTGATACTTGACCTGCATAGTTAGAGGGAGAGGAAACACTTTAGAGGCGGCTAACAAAACACTTGCAGTATGAGTTTATATTACATACATGAGGTTGAAACATTAAAAACTAGTTACAAAAAGCAGGATCTTTGGTTTGGCAAACAGAGGAAATAAGAAACTTTTAAATAGCATGCCTTTTCTAACGACGGCTGATGCTGTCAATCCAAATATCTTCGGTTTGTTAGTGGATTCGTGATAGAATTCCTTCATGACAACAAGAAAGAATCTGTTTGTTGACAAATTATGGAAACTCTATTTATGAAAAACTAATAGATCTTATCATTACTGAAAAAACACACCTTCATTAACTTTGCATAGGGATGATTACCAGTGGTGCGGTGGCATTCGTCTAATATTAGAAGACATACCATCTCTAGTTTCAGAAATGCACTTCTAAGGGCATCCAACAGTATTTGAGGAGTCATAACCAGAATCTGAACTAGACAAAACACGATGTCATTGCAGATAATAGACAGATCCCTTGTGTTTGGCAACAGAAAATAAGTATGTGATAGCTGTTAGTGAGATCATTGCAGTCAAAAATCTACGTCAATGGCTCAAGCAAACAAGTTCAAACAAAATAATTATGAAAGAATGAACAATGGAAGAAGAAACAACCCCAAAACTATAGGGAGCAAATGTACTAACAAATTGGAATGGGCTTTTTAACTAAACAGGTAAACAAACGAAGAATCAACCTCAGAGAACATTCATGACTCAAAATACAACAATGAGCTGGTCAAAGTGGATTACAACATTCTGCCAAAGTTTCACTAACCACACAAAAAGAAATCATGATATATTTCACCAAAACTACTAGCAAGTCACTTTTTGGCGTATAACTTGCAAAACAGATCCAAACAGAAACACAAACTTACATCGTGCTTGCTAACTTCCTCATCCCAGCGCTGAGATGTCCATTTATCAACTCCTTTAGCTCCAAAGTACTCTTCAACCTTCAAATTCACTTGCGCTCTGATCTCACAGCATTGCTAAAACCACACAACAATAAAACATTCAAAAATAAGCTCCCAAGGCGACTCATTTGCCAACATCATCAACTCAAAATGATTAAATCCAAAATAACCATACAAAAGAAAAAGTTTTTCTTTTTACATATATCAATCAAACAAGAGACTTGCCTGTTTAACAATATTGACAGTTGGAGCCAAGAAAATTATCAATCTTTTATCTGTATCAGAACAACCCATGGCTTTGATAAGCATCTTAGTGATCACTGACTTATCAATTCCTGTCCCAAGAACAGCAATTATGTTCCTGTTCTTAGCAACCTCGTACACTTTCAATTCATAACTACTGCACAAGAAGAAAAAGAGTAAACTTTTAGTGAATTAGACTAAAACCCTTGTAAGAAACTCAGAGGAAAACCCATAAGACCCAAAATCAAGTACAAAGAGAGGAAGATGAAGATATACCCATTAGATTCAACCATCGTAGGAGAAGAGACAGAAGCAAGAATTTGATCTCCATCGATTTCAGAGGATTTCCTCTTAAGCGAATTGCTTCCTTGTTGTGAATTTTCCTCCATTTTCTCCGGCTCCAACGAGGAATGCATGACGAACGGAGAAAAAAGGAACACACTTTAACGAGTAGAGGAATTTCGAATTTTGGGTTTTGTGGTTGAATCCGCTTCGACTTTGAGAGAAGAAAATAAAAAGTGATTCTTTTTTCTCTTTTTCTCTTTTTCTCTTTTTCTGAACCTGCACTGCCACTGCATCAAAGTGAACTATGAGACAGAACATGAGTTTCGAATGTGTATTTAATTTTTATTTTAATTAGGAAAAAAATAACTGCATCAACAATTTAGTCAACACTATGCTCCCTCACAAAGAGTGTCATTCTAGAGTTTGATTTTTGTTTCACAAAGAGTGTCATTCCATATTTTCAATGTAACTTTTATACAAAACTTCTTGATTTACCCTTAACTTAAAGCTACTTTTCATTAAATTTGAATCATAAATCACTTATTAAATAGGGACATATATGTATAATTCAATGTTTTCTTAATTTAATACTAAAAAAAGGCTTATGATACTCATTAGGGTTTATTGATAAACATGCTCTAAGGACTCTACCATTGGACTTGCTCTTATAAATATTTGTTCAAAGAGACTCTACCATTGGACTTGCTCTTATAAATATTTCTCCACCATTATTGTCGCTCTTAGGCCTCTAAGAGTATCTCCAATGGCTGGACTCACATTAGGAGTCCAAACCATATTTATAATTGTAAATAATGCAAAATTTGAAATTTAGACACTTAGTTAGTTTTTTATTTTTTTCACACTCCAATGGTAGATCCAAAATTGAGGATCCAAAAATTTAAATTTTTGAAAAAATTTGTAAAAGTCTTTTACAAAACTTGAGACATAAACTATATTTATCATATTAAAAAACTTGAGACACAAGTTCATCTTTGTCCCCTGGTACAAAAGAAAGAAGAACTCGTCTCCATTCATGAAGTTGGTCTCAAAGCATCACCACCACTTCTAGCTACTGTGCTGAAGCCTACTGTTTCACTGACAGAGTCTGATCTCATTTGTTGAAGCCTTTTACATTTCAGAAATGTGATTGACCTACCTTGTCCCAAGGAAGAAGAATTACCTTGCTTCATTGGTAATAACCTCAAGCATTGATCAAATTCATGCAGATAGATCATCTCTTGCTACTTCTCCAATTAACTTCAACAAAACAGAGCAAACTTGATCAAATTCATGTGGATAGACACAAAGAAATAAAGAAAGACGAAAGAGAGATAAGTATTAACCTAACAAGCATTGATCATACACAAAGCATAAACAAAACATGATGTAGACAGTTTACTAAACAAAGCAAACTTGTTTTGGAAACTATTGAGATTAAAGAAAAATCAAGACATTGAAAGAAGATAAGAAAAAACCCTTAGAAAAAAAACAATAATCTCTACTTGTGGATGACTAAATTGAAACATGAGATTTAACTTACAGAGGACTATATGTATATCACTTGTAGAAGACAACAAAGAGAGAAGAAGAAGAGAGTTGCTAAAATAAAGTTTCAGAGACAATTAGCATGTTCGTTTCGTCGCCGCAACTACCTGCTGCTGCGGCAGACGTAAGTATCCATGTTCGTTTCGTTGCCGCAACTACCTGCGGCATAACGCTGCGTTCTGCGGCAAAAAAATTTGGACGCTATTTAAATTCAGCGTCAAACGATTGAATAGCTGCGATCTATGTGGTAAATGACAATATTACCCTTAATATGTTTAAGAAATCACAAAGAAACCTAAACCTAAGGAGGGGGTATTGAAGCAAAGAATGTCATAGAATTTAATAGAATTGAATTAAAGACATAAATACAGATTTACAAGTACTTGTAAAGATTTTTTAAAATCTTTCTTTCAAATTCTACGAATATTCTACAACAATTTAATAGAAAAGAAAAGAAATTTCAATAGAATTGAAAAGAAATTTCAATAGAATTGAAAAGATATATTTACAAAATTCTTCTACCTCTTGTTATCCCTCCGGAGAGCTTCCACGAAATTACCCCGGTGGCAGAAATGACGGTGGCAACAGATGTGGAAGCCACCGCTGGTCACCGTAGCGGTGGTGACGGTGGCGATGGAAAGAAGAAGTGTGTGTGTTCACCGTCGAAGCATCCAAGATTTTATAATAAACAATAATTAATTTAATAAATTTCAAAAGTATCGAAAATCTAGCAACAACATTCTTATCTAATAAAATTGGAGCATATCCATAACGAATAAAATAACAAACATGCTTCAGCACTGATGAGTATCAAATAATTTTTTTGCTTTGTTGTTCTCACGTTAACAAAAACAGAGATCACGATTCACGACTCACGAGCACACCCGAAACCTTGCAGATGTCGCAGCTACCAAAGCAAGCGTGTCATTGTCATCCTAGCTTGTGCTCACGATGATATGGAGATCAATCCGAAGTTGTTGTGTCGTTGCCGTCGTTTGGCGTTGTTTCATTTTGACTCACCGTGGTTGATTCTCGATCAACTCCGTCAAATGGAAAGAGAGACACGGCTAAGACATGGTCACATGGCATCTCTGGAGGATACGAGAAAACATGAGAAGTGAGGTCTCATGTGGAGATGTGATGAAAGAGACAGTAATCTCGTTAACACAAAAAAGAGAGAAAGGGAGAAGAGGAGAGAGAGAGAGAGAGCCATGAAGAAAAGGAGAGAGTTGGAGAAGTCGCATAGGTGGTGGAAACCACTGGTGGCTCTATTAGCACATGTCATGGTTGTGGAAACTCTCGATGGTGGTGAAGGATCAAGCTTGGAGCAGATCAGAGGTGGAAAAGAAGATATGTTGCACATGAGTTCATAGCTAATGGTTCGCACATGAGGCTCTTGGTTGCTCTAGAAGAGATGTCAATGTTAAGATGAATCATTTGAGGGAAATTTTGTTGAGGTCTTGGCTCCAGAAGAGATGACAATGAGAAGAAGAACCATTTGAAGTCCGTACGTCTTTTTTTTTTCCACCGAAATCACAACATAAAGGCTCAGAATTTGTTCAATACATTTTACACTAATTTTTCTATTAAATTCTTGTCAAATAATGGTGTCATAGAATTTTACATAACACTGAATAACACTTGAATTTAATAGAACTAAGAATTCAACAAATTGAATAACACTAGAATTAAAAATATTTTAAAAGAATGGTTACAAATAGTTATTTCAATAACACAAGAATTTAATAGAATCTACAAAAAGTCAAAATGAATAACACTAGAATTCAAATTCTGTTTAATTCTATCAATTTCCTTCGTCCAATACCCCCCCCCCCTAAAAAGCTACGCTTCTCTTCTTCTCTTCTCTCTTTTACACATTCGATCTCTCTTACTGAAACAACAGAGAAGTAAGCTCGGCGATTTCGAGTTTGTTCCCAGACGAGTTTGTTCTTGATTCAGCTTCCTCTGTTCATCAATCTCCTGACTTCAAAGGTAAATTTGATTTCGTTTGCAATTTGGATTTAGTCCCTCCTAATTTCAATCTATATCTCTAATTCATGCTTACGTTTTTGCCATTCAATGGATTTTTGTATTGAGAATGTTCTGTAATATGGGTTTATTCGATTTCAAGTAGTCCTTTTTAAACCCATCTTCTCCGTGAGTTGTTTCATAGTGATTTCTCTAACTAAAGTTTTTACTTTAGGCATTAGATGAGCTTACTTATTGATTTTTGAGAATTGGGTATTTGAACTTGCAGATCTATTTATCATTTGTTGAATTAACAACACTCACTACAAATTTTAAAGGTTTTAGCTAAAAGCTAGTCTTTTTGTTGTTTGTGTCATCTGCTATGTTCCCATTGTAGTTCATAAGAAAGTTTGTTTTGAAGAACTTGTCAAGGGTTCACAGTATTGTAGTTCATAAGAGACTTTGTTTAAGAAGAGTTCATATTAGTTACTGTTTCATGTCTTCACTAACGCTTGTTAATTGAGTCTCATGCTTTATGATTCTGTCTCTTGCTTCACGAAAGTAAAGTCCACCTTTAGGTGTCAAAATGAGTAGTACAACTAAAGGGTAGTAGTATTGATATATAATCTCTGACGTTAAAGGCTTAAAGCTGTTGTCTTGGGTTTATTTTGTTGTAGAAAATAGCTCAAAACTGATGGTCTTTTAGATATGTATCTAGAGAATCTAGATAAATGTATTGAAACCTTATTTTATGACAAGTTATTGGGTACAACATTGTGCAGTGACTTTGGATTTGACCCACTTGGACTTGGAGAAGTTCCAGAGAACCTTGAGAGATACAAAGAATCAGAGCTCATCCACTGTAGATGGGCTATGCTCGCTGTTGTAAGTTTCATTATCCAATCTTTGTCTTATCATAAAGGTTTAGTCTTGTTAAGTTTAATCTAATTGAGTTGGTGTGTGATGTTTATCTTAAAGGTTTAGTCTTCGTTTATAGGATTCTGTGTGCAACAGTCGGCTTACCCGGGGACTGGACCATTGGAGAACCTAGCAACTCACTTGGCGATATTGTTATTCCTTCCAACTAATGAATGTAAAAATAGAAATATGTACCTTATGAGCTTTATGTGTATCAAAAACAGTGTGTAAGGAAAGTCAGATTTGTGAAAACCTGTATTTTGTCTTGGTACTCGATTTGCTCGTGTGAGCTTGAATTCTAAGTGATGAAACCTTTTGAACCCAAATAAGGTTAATTTGTAATATATTAAATCTTGTCCTTCTTACAAATAAGGTTAATTTGTAATATATTAAGTGATGTAATATATTAAAGAAACATTGTAAGCTCATGACTATTTGTTAGATTTCTCAACAATCACATTCACATACTATAAACTCCATAATAAAAGAAACACTGTTAGCTCATGACTATTTAAATTATACCTAAACAAATATTTCATATGGATATAAATATATTTAAATTACATTTTATTTTTAATTATACAAATTTATAAAAATAAAATAAGAATTAAATGAAAATTGTCGCAGCGGCGACGAAACGAACAGATGCGACAGCGGCAGCGGTGACGAAACGAACAACAACCTGCGGTAGTGTTTGCCGCCGCCGCTGCCGCCTGCGGCGACGAAACGAACAGACTAAATGAAACAAAAGTATTGTTTAACCCTTACATCTATATCACTTGTTGGAAGATAAAGCCTTGTCCTGTATGACCCAAAAACCTCAATTTGCAACAAAGAACAAGCAAGAATTAGAGATTGCAGTTTTCGAAACTAAACAATACTCAAAGAGAGAATGAAGCAATTACTTATCGAAATCAAGCAAGACTGCCTAAATTCGTCTTCAATCATGGCTAATAACTACCAACAGAGACTGCTTAATCTTTCAAATTAAGCTAATCAAGCTAAAATGAAAAACCCTAATTTTTTAAAACTCAAAGAACCCTTATTTCGATTTGCATAAAATGGAAGATTCTATCACGAGCTACACATTAAATCAGATAGATTCATACCATTTGAAAGAAATTGGAGCTTCCTTGAACACAAATCTCACGATTTGGTGAACCATTCTCGAACGGTAGAAACCAAACTCTCCGATTTGAACCAGAGTCGGTGGAAAATGAAGACAACAGCAGAACGACCACTCAGACAACACCATTTGAGACTCATTTCGGTTCTCAAATCGACGGATTTGGGTTCCGATTTCGCCATCAGTGATAGATGAACAAGAGAGAGGAAGAGTCGAGGAAAACTGTTAAAGAGAGAAAACACAGGCCTAATTTTTTTTTTCTTTTTACACATATTTTCTACCAACCAAAAAGTGACACGTATGCAAGTCTAAATCTGGTGGAAATATCCAAAGTTGTAACCGGATCTATTTCTTTTATTTAGTTTTTTTATTTATTTTTAGATCTTTTATCTTTTATACATCCATTTAGATCCACCGATAATGGTGCTCTAAATCCCAATGGACCTGACCCAGGGCCGGCTCAATTAATTTAGAGTCTTGGTACAAATCTTAAAAATTGGCTCTTTTCATACCAAAAAAAAAAAAAATTGGGCCTTTGTTATGTTAAAAAAACTTAAAAATTAACCACTTTCATACTAAATAAAATATTTAGGCTTTTTTTATAATAAAGATATCTTAAAGTTTTAAAAATTACATTTTTTTCTATACAGAAAAAAAAAATTTGGGCCCTTAAATTTACCCAAAAAAATTGGACCCAGAACAATTGCTCCACTTGCACACCCCAAACGCCGGCACTGACCTGACTCATTCTATTTTGTCGTTCCAGATTTTAAGATTTATATTGGATATATACTGCTGATTTATAACTTTTCTTCAGTGTGCAAGCTGAAGGATGTGTTAAGATCATCTAATTCTAATGTGACTTTTAAGTTGTTTTGTCGGAGCTTATTTATAATTTGTAGGGTCAGGAGGATTTCGGTCGGGTCGAGTTTTTGGTCAGGAAGGTCGGGTCAAAACATAATCTAACTACATTAACAACACCCAGCTTGAAAATGAGATAAATACTACTATAGAACTCGAACACAGAAGAAGAATCAAAAATACTGTTTTGCAAATTAATTAGTGAAGAATTTTCTCAAAGCCAAAGGAAGAAGAGAGAGGCAATATACATATAAATGAAACCAGCCAAAATATTACTCATTTTCAGATATTTTAGATATGTCACTAAATTTGAGAAAATGAGTAATATTTTGTTTCACTTGTAGCATGACCATATGCAGCAATGAGTAGTGCATTAGCTCGAGCATAGTCCCTTCTCCTTGTCAATTGGGAACTAAGTGATGGAAACATTTTCAATGCGAGTTTCCTGCCACCATCCTATGAAGAAAATAAAATCTTTATTGCAACTGATGAGAGGTTAGACATGAAATCATAAAACTTTGAGAGTGAGGATTCATCACCCGGCTATAAATACTAAGTTTAAAATGTTTCTTCCATGTCGAAGGAGCAACGGAACTAACAGAAATGTTAGATGTGAGAAGTATTCCTGTCCATAATCCATATCCAAGTCCTGCATTGTAGGCAGCCTAAGATATAAAGACACAATCATGTTTTAGTTTATTGAATCCATATCATAAATACTGAAGTAGAAAAAGATGAGTAATTTTTTACCATGATATTGTCGTCTTCATAGAGAATCATTTTCGCTACAAATGCCTTGGTTCCTACAACATTAAAGACACTAAATTGAATTTAAGTCTAACGCAAAGAACACCGCAACAAAACCACAGTGAAATATCATTCTTACCGGATGGAACATCTAGAGTACGAATCAGTTCTAGCATTGATTTTTCTTTGAAACGAGATCTTGGGATATTTTGAACTACAACTTGCCGCCGAGGAGTATCATATACCTTTACAGATTTAACACACAAAACTCAATCAACTTTGACGGATATATCAAAATGACTAAAGTGCAATTTCCAGTATTCACCAAGAAAACAGTGTACAAAGCATGTCTTAGTTACAAACAGGTTAATTAATCGTAAATCTTCTATCATCCAATATTATTTTCATTCATATAATTCCTATAGATAACAATCGAACCTTGTAAATATAAATTATGATTAACCAAAAGTGGAATATCTTAATTAACTTCACAAAGCCTACAATCTCGTAGTTCCCAGTTCTAGGGGTTTTTAGTATTTTTTTTTTCTTTATTATATAGTTCTAGGGTTTCAGAAGAAAAACAATTTTCCTATCCTTTATATTATAAAGCACAAGTCACAAGACCAATAAAATTTTGCCACATAGATTTCTATTTATTTATAATTTTATTTAGAAAAAAAACAATTCTAAAAGAAATTAGAGATCGTGTAAGAAAAGGAAAAAATTAAAATAAACTGATATTTTAACGAAACAAAAACTGTAAAAAAACCTATATCCCTAAAATTGCTCACACTAACAACACGTTCAACTCAGATCATGGCATGATTTAAACTGATTCATCTCCTATTTAAGTCCAATCAATTCAACTTCTTCTTTAATTGATTTTTTTCTATATTCCTCTCCATCGTTTTTTCTTGTGGTTGCCATAGAAACCAAAGGTTAAAATTTTATTCAGGTTAATGCTTAAACTTTATTCCTATTCATTCATTAATTCATCCATTTTCTCTATAACTCATGTTAATTCTAATTTTATCAATCACAGTAGGAAGATGTCTCAGGATTTACTAAAAGGATAGAGAGCAAAGGATTTTATGTCTTCAAAAGGCACAAGAATTAGAAGCAATAGTTGTAAGAGATCTTTGGTTGCTAATCTGGCCAGAAACTCCATTAAGAGGTGATCTAGGCTAATAGCTATCGTTTACGTTCTGACACTTACCATATTAAAAAAAACCAGTTATGATTTCTTACGTAATTTCATTACCATTTGTGAGGTATAAGACTTTTCCTCCATTGTTCGTTTCTATTACAGTTACACTCTAACCTTATAGCTTAAAGAAAAATATTAGAACTAATAAGCAAAAATATTAATCAAGTATTCAACCCGTGCTCGCACGGGTCATAATTCTAGTAGAAAATAAATTAGTAGCGATTCACCTGAGCAGAACAAGATCCCTTGTCGTCGAATTTCAGCACAGCCAAAGCTCCGGACAAGGTAGGGTCAATCCCAATGATCCAGTGTGGCTTAAAATTCTCTTGAATCGCCTCGTCGTAGTTTGGTGAAGAATAAGAGAGAGGATTCAACAATTCTTGCTTCATCAAAGCCTTCTCTTTGGCCTTATCATGTGAGGAGAAAAATCGAGAACGGAAAGATTTGAGCTTAGAGGAGAGAGTCATTGCCCTTAGAGTCTCTACACGAATCATGGAAGTAAGGAAAGTAATTAAGCACAAAAGTAATCAACTCACGTTCATAAAAAGTTTGTAATAATGGACCGCAAACGTAGAACTAAGCAAACCATTATCTAAAAACTTTTTTGTACATACGTCATAGTCTCATAGATTCATTGGAGCCTAAAAGAACTTATGTCTCCCAAAGTTAAATATTACTCAAACGAAAAGAATAAGAACTTACTTCTTTTTCCTCTTTCACTGTTTCGTTTAGTTCTTATACTTCAACAGAAATTTTCTGAACAAAACACGATATTAAACAACATGAAACTTGATTGTGCGCAGCTAGATCGTTTCAGATACGACGAAATCCACTATTGTGAGTAAGAAAATTGGCATATGAGAATATGCTCTGCTCTCTTGTTTGATCACTCCTTGCCCTATAAGATTCGATCGATCTAGAAAATATTATCTGAAGCAACGAAACGAGTCACTATTTAATGTTTAAAATAATCTTATTTGTTACGTGTTAGGGTTTTTAATTTTTTTTTATATTTATTAATTTAATTTATGCAAAACAAATCCGAATAAAGGGTTTAAATATTTTTTAGTTAAACAAGTATGATTTTACATCCCAGAAAGATATTCCGCTTTACCTTTCCAACATGACTCACATGAACGACATTATCAACATAAAATAAAATTTCACTAAAACAACCCAACTTCAAAAATAGATAAATATAATTTAGTAATTTACACATACGTACCTCTCTCTAACACACATTAATAACATCAAATATTTTCATATAATTTCTCTATCATCTAATAACGTAACCAACGGAATATCAAGTAACGTCACGAACCATGGTTCTCGAAGAAAGAAGGAAAAAATATGTCTAGGGTTTAAGAAGAAAGAGGTAAACAATTTTATTTTTAGAGATTCACCTAAGCAGAACAAGATCCCATGTCATTTTTCAACTAGGCCAAAGCTCCGGACAAGTCAGGGTCAATTCCAATGATCCAGTTTGGCCCAGCAGCATTCTCTTGAGTCTTTGCATCCTCGTTTAGTGAAGGAAAAGAGAGAGAGAACCCAACATAAAATTTCATTGATTTCAACTAAAGTTTTGTACTTCATTTAGTTTATTTGAGAAAAAAAAATTGTTCAAATTACTACCCCGGTATCAAAATCTATGTATAAAAGAGTACGACAAAAATTGTTAAATATGCCTTTTTCCCAATCATTTTATGTAGCTAGCGAAATTAGGCTGCTTCAGTTTCATGGTTTCAAGGAATCAAGGCCGGCTTGAGTGGCGCCAAGTTGACCGTACCAACCAAAAAGGAGCGACTCCTCACGGGCGGCAGTACAAGTTTCTGCTCGCATGATCTTCTAAGACGTGATTGTACTCTTTAATTCATTGTTCGCTCTCTTCATCATATAAAGGTGATAAATATTTCAGATTAGTAAGTTCCTTTGACAAAAAATAATAATAGTATTTTTGTTAGTATTTTAAAATCATAAATTTTAATTTATTTATTTATTTTAATACATATTAGAACTGAAAATAATTATTTTTAAAAGATATATTAGAAAATGTTATGCAAATTACTACATAGACATTAACCAAAAAAAAAAAACATCATTCTACACAAAACAAAAAAATGGAGTTTAAAATAGGCCTGGGCAAAAAAACCGTACCCGAGTACCCGAACCGAAACCGACCCGAAAAAACCGGTTCGGGGCGGGTACGGGTATTAGCTATTTACCCTATTGGGTCTTGTAACGGCGTACCCGTGGGTATAGGGTAAAACCCGATCCGAACCCGATACCCGAACGAGTATCCGATTACCCGAAATTATATATACTTATACATATAAAAACTTTATATATATCTAATATTCAAGCTAAATACATTTATCTCCAAATATCCGAGAATAATGACCAAAAACTAAATATACTTATATTTAAATATTTAAGACTAAATATATTTATATGCGAGATACTTGTAAATTTTTGGAATATTTGGATAAAATTCCGGTTATTCGGATAAAATGTTGGGTAAAATTAGGATATTAGGGTAAAATTTCGGGTAAAATTTGGATATTAGGGTAAAATTTTCGGGTATTTGGGTAAATTTTTGGGTATTTGGGTATAATCGGGTATAAAATACCCGAACCCGAAGGGTACCCGATTTTTTTAGGTATTTAGCGGTTCTGAAAATCTAAACCCGAACCCGATTGGACCCGAACCGAAACCGAACCGATATTTTAGATTTACCCTATTGGGTCCTAAACTCCTCTACCCGAAAGACCCGTACCCGATTGGGTTTTACCCGAACCCGACCCGCATACCCGAATGCCCAGCCCTAGTTTAAAACAACAATCTACGTGAAACGGAATGAGTTTTATCCTTCCGGCTATTCATTAATTTCACTTAATTATTGTTTCAAATCATTAGGGCTTATTATTATACCCATGCAATTTTATATTTTGGAGAAAACATGATTCCAAAAAGCTACCTACAAAGGCAAAAGAAAATGAAAAATAGAATTACATTGCATGGCCACACAGGTGTATGCAATTTTAGTAGGTAAGGGAAACCCTAGAAGAATACTTTCATCAAAGTAGTCTCGAATGTGGTACAAAAGGCTCTAAGCCGCAGCGAGCTTGGCGAGAACACCAACGGCGATAGAGTTGATGTAAGTGCAAGGTTCTGTGTACACGGAAGTCCATCGGAGATCCTGGAACTTGTCTTGACGGTCAGGTCCTCCCAAGATGGCTCCGGTGAGCTCGTTAGCGTTAGGTACGTTCTTGTTGTACCATTTCACGAAGCTCAATGGGCAACTTAACGGCGCGTTGGCTTCATGCATGGGCACTGAGGCTCCTCTGTGATGGGCTTGCTTTGGTGGGTTTGGTCCGAACCCAACCATGTACGATCTTCCTTGTGGGTTATGCCCTAGTATGTAGTCAATCTGTAACATGCATATAATGATAACACATTAGGTATATATATCTAACATATTATATATTACTTCATAATTCATATGTGAAAAATAAGGAAACACATAAATATTTTGTGTATGTTTGGTTTGCATTCTTATGGAAAAATATATAATACCTGTTTTTTAGCGAAAGCCATGAGGTGTGTTGAATCGAATTGGTGGCTACCGCAAGAGATCTTTTGGTTGTGTTTCTGTAGTATATCAGCGTAGGTTGAGAACAAGAAGGCGGTGGCGGTGACATATTGACTGTTGGCTCCATCCCTCAAGTGAATCATACCACCTAAATATGTTAATCAAGAAGATCACACTATGATTAATCATACCGTATATATTAAGTTTTACAAATATGTATATATGTTAATGCATGGAGGCAAGACCTGGGGTAGTAAAAACTTGGTGGTAAGGACTTCCGGGAAGATTAGAGCATACAAAACTATCTGCTTGTTGTTTGTATAGATCAAGTCCTTTTGCGCCTTCGAAGATCAACTGCATTTACATATATATTTTTATACATAAATAGGTTTCGAAAAAAAAGAAAATCTAATTAACTTTTGATATGTGTTATATATACCTTAGTGATGAGGATCTGCGCACCAGCGTATTTGAGATCCCAGCTGAATTCAGCGACGTAAGCGCTTATGGCTTCGAATTTGAGGTAGCTAAGGTACAAATCATTCCTTGTCGCCTTGTATAGCCATGTTGCCGCCCATATCAACTCGTCCTTCACATTATTTGTCAAAATTAATATCAATTACAACATGAACAAAGACAACAAAAAGCGATATTTGAAGGAAAAAATGATTTAGAAGTTAGAGATGAGTTTTACATTGTAACCGGAGTTAGAACAATAAAACGGGCATTCTCCATCGTATGTACCCTTGTGGCTTTTGGCTAGCTTGAAAAGCTGAAATTGAGATTTTGATCAGATCTTTAGTTCTTTTATTGATTAAAGGAATTCTCTACAAAAATATATCATATTTTCTACCAAAATCAACAAATTAGTCTTTATTTTAAAAATTAACAAAAGAGTTTAAAACAATAAAGTATTTATGTATAAAAAAATGCATAAATTAATAAGCATACCAATTTGGCTTTGTTGAGAAGCCGGCGTGCATATTTGTGGTCAACATGGCGGAAAACGATGGAGGAAGCGGCGAATGCAGCGGCGGCTTCCGCAGCGATCTCGGTTCCTGGAACTTTATCGCTTATCTCCAACACCGTCCTTGGCGTCTTCATGTTCTCGGGTCTCGCCCAGCACTGGTGGTCCGCGTTTGGATCACCAACCTATTTGATCATATTCATAGGCACAACCATTTTAAATTGTACGTTCATCTTTCTAGCATGATGTAATTGCAAAATACTAATTTGATTATTCGTTTGAAACCTGAACATAGAGGCGGTTCTTGCGAGAAGCACATTTGAGGAAATAATCTGTACCCCAACGGATAGCAGCACGAGCGTTTTCGAGCTCTCCCGTGGCTCGGAGTTCTTTCTCATAGGTAATGGTAGACCAAGCAAGCGTTGTGATCGTAAACGCCATTGGAAGACCATACTTTACATTGTCTCCTGCGTCATAGTACCCTCCCGACAAATCCACCTATACATAAATAATTATCTCATTATTTCTTGTAACCTTAAATCTGATTTCTGTATATACATGATTTGTTCGAGGTAAAAATATAATCCAAACTTACATTTACGAGTTTGCCATCGTCGAGAGCAGAATCACCTCTCCATGGAACCCTATTGTTAGGAGGGAGTTTGCCTGATCTTTGAGCCTCCAAGAAGATGAGGGATTTGGTTAAAGCATCTTTGTAGTTTATGTTAGTACCATTGACACAAACAATGCTTATGATTCCATAGAGACCCAACAATATGGCCCTAATCACAACATTTCCTCTTCCTTTATCCCCATAATTACCCATAATTTCAAATGTAATGTTTGTAATAAAAATGCCAACTCTTATATAAGAAGTGGAAACAAAGAAAAGGAAACTGAATCTTTTTTTTTCTCTGTATTTTTTTGTGAAGTTCTGTTTGTTTTTTGTTTCAACAAAAAACGAAAAACAATTGCATGCTTTTCGTTTTTTCTTGTTTTTTTTTATTGTTTTATTGTTTTTATTTTTTCTACTTCTTCCTCCGGTTTTATATATTTTTAAGATGGCGGGAACGATTAGGGGAAACTTATAATAGAAATTTTCTTAGAAGGTTAAGTTTAGGTTTACTAATCTTGACTTAGAGATTCACATCCATCGGTCACTAGTTTTTTCTGTCTTATTTTTGTTCTTGTTTTTTTTTTTTTTCTAATTTGTAAGATCCTAAATAAAGGTGATTGGATTCTTAGAATTTTCGATTAATTTAGATCATACATTGTTCCTTTTCGGATGGTTAGACGTAATTTAGTCTATCGTTGGGAAAAAAAAAGATTTTAAAGAAAAATAAGAGGACATGAATAAATTTCAGACGGTAGTACAACTACAACATCCGTGGCCAAAGCCCAAAGGTCAACCCAATTATTGAAACCTTGTTTGTGAAAAATATCATAAGATCTCTATGGACAAAGTTGATATAGAAATTCTTATTATATTGGCCAAAAACGTTTCTGCCGTTATTTCAGAGTAGTGCATGATAAATTTTCTGAGTATTCAATGAACGTATGTAGGCCCGCCCAATTTTACAGAGAATCATGCTCAATAAACGACTGGTGTTTAGTGATGATTCAATTCGCCTTAGTCCTTTGAGGTCAATATATTAACCAGAAATACGGGACTTCTCGTAGTTCACGTTACATCAAGTCCTAGAGTGAATAGGAAAGATACATTTCATGTTTACCTCATGAAATGGGAAGAAACGCTGAGCACTGAAGTCTGAATACATTGGAAGTTCGAATATGAGGCAGCAACTAGACTCGATAAGAATTTCAATTTATACATTCTAACACCTCCATGATTCTTAATTATCTTCCTCCACTTAAGTTCATTATACTCGTGCAGCGGGAACTTAAGTTTAGACTGTTGCTTGGTTTATTTGAGTTATGAGGTTGAAGAAAGACTATAAGCAAAGGTCTGCTAAAAGGAAAACATATGATAAGTCTCTAAATATTCATAAGTTTTATATTTAGTATAATAATATAATAATATAAGTTAGCTTTGGTATCTACTTTGATTAACTTCATCTTTTGAATCTTGAGCTCAGTTGTTTTTGTAACACTATCATATGATGGATATTTAGATTGCCGAACTTGTAAAATATATATATCCTTGATGTTGTTATTTCTTTTATTTGTGTTTTATCAAAAAAGAAAAAAATAGTTTGATTTGTGAGTAAGGATGAGATCGAGAGGTTCAATTAGGCTGTGAGCTCAATGTGTTAACGGGGAAAGCTATTTTTGGTTAGTTTAAGAGACAAGGCTGAAGAAAGACTAACCACAAAAGATCTTCTTAAAGGAAAACAAAGTAGATAAGAGTATCTTCTCTGATTATTTTGATCTATTGATTCTAATTATTTTCTTGAGCTCTGTTCTTGTTGTATGAGCTACATGTAATAATGTTTCCATATAGTGGATATTGTTGGATTAATCTAATTCATACTGATCTAGCCTAACTCGTAAAAACGTTGGTGTGTTTTTTTTCTTTTCATGCTTTCACATTTTATTTTTTTCATATTCATTTGTGTTTTATGATGAAACTTTCATCATTCGTCTGGATTTTTTTTTATGAGGAATGCTGAGATTGAGGTTTAATTAGGTTGTGCAGATGACCTTGGCCTCAACAGCGGGAAATCAGCGGTCGATTGAGCTAACTATTCTTTCCTCCGCTAGCATACCAATTAAACAAGCGGAGATCAAATTACTAGGAAAAAAATTCAGATAATGTTATCTCTTACTACTTTATTTTATCGCTTTTAAGTAATTCTATTCTATTTTTGGGTTTTTTTTTTTTTTTTTTTTTTGTCAACAGCTTTTAATTAAAAATTCAAAAGAACCAATCCTGAGGAACGTTGTTTACATATGTGATGTGATGCGGTTCGGTGCGAACTTTTCGCGCCAAATTATCCGCTTTTACATTTGCACTTCGAGGGATTAAAGATAAAGAGAAGCTTGAAAATTCCTGTTTGTCTCTTTGTAAATCTTCTAAATACACTGAGAAGGCCGGCCATTCGGTTGGGGAAGTATATTACTAGATAGCAGTAATAAGAAGTATATCACTTTGATATATGTTTATCAATCACAAAAACGATAAAAATTAGTGGTGCAGAAAATGATACCACCATTGTTTTCGTTATCTAATTTTTTCGTTATTATTTATCGATATTTTTCCGAAAAAAAATATTTACTTTTTTAATTGTTTTTATTTACCCCTGGTTTGTGGAGCCACAAAATTTGAAATGTGGTGGACTTTCTAAGAAAAATACAAACGTTTCTAGTGGGCCTCATAGATCCCATCCCGTAAATGGGCATAAGATTTGATGGGAAAACAAAAATGTTTAAATGATAGATAAATGCATAATTGCATATATCAAGGAAGGAGTGAGTTGGCTTAGGATAAGAGCTAAAATATTTCAATTCTTATCTTGTTCTCTCTTTGTAATAATAATAAAGATTTTTATATATTTATTTTCCTTTATGGAGAATACAAGAAGAGCACATAGAAACGGAAACAGAAACTCAAATCTATAAGATCTCATATCTTCTATTTCTCTATGGATTAACAAAGATTTTTCACCATTTCTGTGAAAAATGTTTAGGGTCATTGACAAGAGCGATCGGACTTTCACGGCGGATCAAGAATTTGCTTGCTTATCGTCGACGTCTTCGACTTTTGATTCGATCGGGAAGAACAGTGAGGACGATGAAGGTGGAGAGAATGAGATTGAGTCTGCTTACAAAGGTCCTCTTGATATGATGGAGTCTCTTGAAGAAGCCTTGCCCATCAAGTAAGTATAATTGTTTTTGTCTGATTGTTCTCTAGGGTTAATGTCTGAACATGGAACACGTTTTAGTGTCTGAATGTTGACTTCATTTTAGGAGAGGGATATCGAAGTTTTACAAAGGGAAGTCGAAGTCGTTCACGAGCTTATCGGAAACAGCATCTTTGCCGGTGAAGGATTTGACGAAACTGGAGAATCCTTATAGTCGCCGGCGGAGGAATCTTCTCAGTCACCGGATACGTAGTCGTGGTGGGATCTCAAAGAAACCGGTCAAGAGTGTTTTAGCGGTGGCCGTGATGGCGATACGTCAAAGAGAAGGAGACTCTTCTTCTTCCTCCGGTGATGATTCTCTTCCGCCTCCGGGGAAGTATCATAAGAATCTCCCGAGGCAGAGAAAGGGGTCTTTGGGTAATTGTGTTCCCGTTGTTGATTCGCCGCGGTGTTTTCAGACGGCGGTGGGTAGCAACATCCATAATATTATTTGCTAAATTTAATTACATCGATTTTTTGTTAGACCTTTTTTATTTATTTTCTTTCTGTTATTGAGGAATTATTTTGGAAATTTTACATTGATGTTACATCTCAAGCTTTAATTATATTAAGAAGAAAATTATTACTTTTGAATATATCACTTTTGTGTGTGAAAATTAACACTTTTTCTTTTTGTTATAGAGCTTCAACACTTTATCTCTTTTTTTTTTTTCCTATTCAAAATGGGTTTGAATTATTAACAAGTCATTTATAATACAAATGTAGTCAACATAATTAAATTATAGAAGTGCAGGTGCTGCCAAAAGCGTGTGCTCAATCCCCGACAGTTACGATTTCTTACCAAAAAATTCTCTAAACAAATGTTTATTATGTAGTCAACATAATGAAGTTTTTTTTTCATAAACTACATATAATTAAATGTAAAAAAAAAAAACCTCAATCACTAAGGAAAACAGAACGGACCCTACCAAACAAAAAAAAACGAAAACAGAACGGTTTACAATGTGTTATGATTTATGATTTTTTTTATAAAAAAAAAAAACTCAATCAGTAACAAAAAAAACTCAATCAGTAACGAAAAAAACTCAAATCAGACATATATACTTCCTTTTTTATGTTGGTTTTTGTTCTTAAGAATACTTTTATAGAGGAAATCAAAATGAAACATACTTTTATATGTTAAGATACATAATGAGGAAATAATTGAAATGAATTTGGTTGCTAATAATAAATACTCCATCTGTTTCATAAAGAGTGTCATTTTAGCATTTTTCACACAAATTAAGAAAAGTAAACAAATTTCATTTCTACCCTTTATTAATACACTAAATAATACCCTCTTTCTAATTAATAAGCTAAAATAGTAGGGACAAAAAAGAGAATTAGTCTTTAAAACTGCATTGAAAACACAAAACGACATTCTTTGTGAAACGAGATTAAAACCTTAAAACGACACTCTTTGTGAAACGGAGGGAGTAAAAAAAAGAAGAAGGTATAATCTATGTTGCATGGAAACGGAAACGGAAACGTGGAAGGGAAACGTTTCGGAAACGGGAAACGATTTTTTTCTAAAATTAGGGATTGGAAACGTTTTGGAAACGCATACACATATATAATATATGTATATATATATATATATATATATATAACATTAACATAAAACTATAAAAAAATGGTTTAATTAAACAATACAAGTCCAAAACATCAAATTTAAATAGGTTAACTAAACTTCTAAAAGAAAAAAGATTAAAAGGTTCAAGTTCAAATATTTAATTTAGACCAACATTTTCATTCTCATTTTCATTAGTTTCATCGTAGATCATATAAAGATGCCTCCAAATCTAGTTTGTCGATAAAAAGATCTTAAAACTCAGAGTTTTCTAAAATTAGTTATATGTATTATAAATCTTAATCTTTTCAACTTTTATTTATTAAATTTCCAAAGTCAATAAAAAGGATTTGTCGCGTTTCCATTTAGAAACGTGAGTTTCCATCGTGTTTCCAAACATAAATTTTTAGGAAACGCGTTTCCGTGACGTTTTTGGTGTTTCCGAAGAGTTTCCGTTTCCGAAACGTTTCGAAAACGGGAAACGGACCTCGAAGAGAGTTTCCATGCAACATAGGGTATAATTATAACTGTACCCCACATTATAATTTAATTTTTATAATTTTTGGTCTGAATGCTTGATGCTTGACAATGTTTCCATCTTCTTTAATTAATAAATCTGAAGTTTTTTACTGTCTTTGTGTTATGTTCTAAGCAGAAGCTTTTACATTTCAAGACAAAAGCGAGAAGGATGAGGATCGCAAGAAGGCCACCAAAGGAGCCACAAAGCCTGTGAATCCAATAGGGATCAAACCTGGTCAAGCTCTGGTCACAGTACAGAGACAAGGCAATGGCCATGATCAAGAATAGCAGAAGCAAGGAGAGGGTAAAGAAAAAGCTCAAGGGTTCGTCTTCAGGTTCTTGATCGTCGTCTGATGAACTATCTATGTAGAGCGGTGAGAGCACGGCTAGTACTGACAAGCTGATGGCCAAAAACTTCCTAGATAATGTAAACCTCGATCCTTCCATCAAGAATCGGGAGATCCTTGACTTCCAAATTCTTCTTCTTCTTGATTGTTTCTCAAGACTTAAATTTTTTACTCTGTATTTCTTGGGAAGGACGAGATTAAGTTTGCAAGAAATGAATTGAACTGAGAACTCAGGTGTTTGGTTTGGGAGAAAAGCTTTGTGTGAACAGCCCAGTTTGGTTTAAACACCAAATGTCTTGTAAATGAAGGATCAGAACCTGACTTTGGTTCAAACACCAAATGTCTTGTAAATGAAGGATCAGAACCTGACTTGTTTAGTGAGCATCTAATATATATTTCTGGTTAGCCACCCAACATTAACATAAATATTCTTTGGAATCAGATGTTTCTTCACTTTTTGTTTCTTTTAACATTTTCAATTTGTTCTGTTTAGTCTATAAGATTAATAAAGATATAGCAACTATTCTTCTTCTTTTTATGGCCACTGCTTTTCATTTTTAGCATGTGCTAATGTATGATCTAAACAACGAACTTTGTCCGTCATTTCGTTCCATGATTCGAGCCAAAGTAACACTAAGGGTTATATTGTACAAAACACATACAACATCAAGAATCGAGAGATCCTTGACTTCCAAAATCTTCTTGTTGTTTGGTTCTCAAGACTTTACAATTTTTACTCTGTATTTCTTGGGAAGGACGAGATTAAGTTTGCAAGAAATTGGCTGAGAACTCAGGTGTTTGGTTTGGGAGAAAAGCTTTGTGTGAATAGACCAGTTTGGTTCAAACACCAGATGTCTTGTAAATGAAGGATCAGAACCTGACCTGTTTAGTGAGAATCTAATATATATTTTTGGTTTGCCATCCGACATTAACATAACTATTCTTTGGAATCAGATGCTTCTTCACTTTTTGTTTCTTTTAACATTTTCATCTTATTCTTTAAGATTAATAAAAGATATAGCAACTCTTCTTCTAATGTATGATTGTTGGGGTCGGATTTTATCCCCTACTAAGACCGAGCCAAACTTCGATAAAACGTTATTCGGCTTGGGACGTTCCTTTGATCAGCTCGGGACGTCCCTTTGATCAGCTCGGAACTCCGTATCGTTCGGCTCGGGACTCCTCCTCAACCGGCTCGGAAGCAATTTTCCATCAGCTCGGGAATAATGACTCGTCGGCCCGGGTATTGAACTAATCGGTTCGGGCGCGACTTTGCTGGTTTGTTCGAGTACCCGAGCCCCGTCCATACGGGTACCCGAGCCAGTTCACCGCTCAGATTCCCGAGCCCGTCTGCAACTTAGCTGCCCGAGCCAGTCCGGCACCAAGACATCCGAGCCATCCGTTGTTTGGATGTCCCGGGGTCAAATCATTGGTTGCCCGAGGCAAGGACTTGGTGAAATATTCACCTTCGATACCACTTCTGGAATAAGACGTCATCATTTCCGATATACCCGGAAATGATAAGGGAGAATCTCGAAGGATCAACTCAAATCGAGAAAACTTCCAAAAAACCCCGAAGAATAAGGAAAGTATCCTAATCCGCGATATTCTAGCCGACTTCAAGATAAATGGAAATCTTCCGAGAATATCGCTGGAGAGGCGGTTTATCATCGCTATATAAAGAGACTCAAGGCTCTCACAACAGGGCAAGCAATATCGCTCTAGAATTTAGACTACACAAGGCTCTTAAGCAAAACACTTTTTCTTTTACGATCAGACTCTTGTACAATCAAAGCTATCTTTTTCTTAATAATATCAAGAACACCATCTTTGGTTTCGATCCGTTCTGTTGTTCTTTGAGAATTCGCGTTTATTGTATCCCTAAAATAAAACCCTAGATAAATCTTGATTGTGTTAGTTTCGACTTCCACAATGATCTAAACAACGAACTTTGTCCGTCATTTCGTTCCATGATTCGAGCCAAAGTAACACTAAGGGTTATATTGTACAAAACACATACAACATTGATCCAAAGTCGCCACATCCCAAATGGTAAGATGATAAGATCCAAATCATTAAAACTTGCTTGATTCTATCTTCGCGAGGTCAGACTTTCTTCGCGGATCAATATTTTCAAAAACCTTAACCGATTCCATATTCGCCTGAGAAAGAAATAACAAGGACCAATGAATTCTCCTGAAAATTCAAACGAATAGTTTCATTCATATTCTCATATCACTTATAAACAAAGAAGAAAACAGATAAGTATCACCATTGAAATGCATTTCAATTACTCAACAATAACATTTTCTCAATTACTCTGTTCAAGTTTAGTTGCATTCCAATTATTCACCAATAGAAACGACTTGGCTTGTATATATTGAGTCAATGTACATTTCAATTATTTAGTTTATGTGTATAATTGCAAATACATTTCAAGTGTAGATACCTTTTAGACCAGCAATATAGTCAATTGGAGACTAAATCATCAAACTTGAAAGGTGCTAAGACACATATGTTAAAAAGAAAACTTGCCATTGCACTTGGGATTTGACCATCGGTACCACCATTTGCTGATCACTACTACAACTGAAGCTGTAACACACATCAAAACGCTCCACATGAAGTTCATTTTTTATGTGGCTTTCTAATGTGAAGAGCTACTACTTCAGATCTTTGAAGACTCCTAAATTGAGGAGAACGGGCTGTACAACCAAGTCTATACAAGTAAAAAAGAAGTGAAAAGAGAAAAATACCTCTCCAAAACAATTTTTGTGAAAAACTATATACATAGAATTTATTAATACATCTTATTAAAAACAGAATCCAATAAACTAAATTAAATTAAGAAGAACTAAAATTAACTTATTTATATTGAAAGTATAAATATAATCTCCACTAAAATGATTTAACAATGATATTGAAACATACGTTATTGAAAACAAATTTATTCAAAATCAAATCAAATAATTTCAGAATTATTCAATTTATATTAAATAGCTTATAAAGTCAATTATTCTAACCAATAAAACCCTTATGAAGCCTATTTGATAAAAGAGGTTAATTACTAATAATTTAAGTTTAAATTAATTTTAATTACTATTACTAAACCCGCAGCCTCCTCATGCTCTTCTAGGTCAACCCTGCCAGCTGCTATATGGAAAGCTGCTAAATGGCTTTTCGGGTCACATTTCTCATCGTAAGTCGGCAAATTGATTTGCGAGGTGAATGGAGTACGCCTCATTTCTTCGATCAACATGTCGATATCAGAAGCCGAACTGGTGGCCTCATGGAACTTTGACTATATTTCTCTTAGCTCAATGCGGACTTTCTCGTAATCAGCTGAAGGTGCAAAAGGGATATGGTCACTCCCACCTCGCTCGAGCTCTTCCCCATCTTGGACATCGTCATTTCCGAGCCCATCTAGGTTCTCTTGTCGGGGATGAACTCTGGTTCTCCTCCTTGGTCTCTGGCTGTTGGTGTCTCGTTGGCTGCAAGAGTTATGCCGACACGCGAATTAGGATAACTAAGTAGTCCTCGCTTGACTCTCTGGTTTGTTCTTGCACTCAAAGATTCCACATGAGCAGAAACAAATTTTGATTTTCAAAAAGAGTTACCTAGGCTGCTTGCAGATCAGCTACAAAAGTCTCTAAATTTTTGGACTTCCCGGACATGGTAGTCACCAAGTAAGTTAACGTTTTAAGGGGATCGACAATTGTTTGATCGGCCATGATGACTTGTTCGTGCC